CCTGCAAAGGCGATACACAGGTTGTCATTTCCATTTTCATTTAACATGTACATATGCATCATTTAGTGAGCAGTTCCTCGAGCCTGTCTCTTATTGCTGTCCCTTTCTCCTTCTATGTCTTCCCATGGTTTGTTGCTGGCTGGTCAGGTTGCTCCGCACACCCGTAAGTCTTCCCGTGGTGTGGGTGTCAGCTCATCTTTTCACCATGACTTTCTGGTGTTGTTCGTGGTGTGTGTGCGTGTGTGTGTGTGTGTGTGCGCACGCACGCGTGTGTGCGTGAGTGAGTGTGTGAACGTGTGTGCATGTGTGCACGCGCGCGCGCGTGTGTGTGTGTGTGTGTGTGTGTGTGTGTTCGGTTGGTGGGTACACTTATGCCTGATTGTGTGGGGTCTGTTGCCAACAGGCTTGGCTGCTTGAAGGTGTATTGTTGTATCTGCCACCTTTGTTGGTTACAGGGTTCATATACTTTCTATTTGAAGTATACATACCTGTTAACCATGGACTGCTTTTGGCTAGATCAACTCTTGTGTAATCAATGGTGCTAGTGACGCTTATATCAGATCCCCTCTGATTCAGCCACCCACACTAGTAGCAAGTATTACCTTCACTGGGTGCAGGGGTAACTGCAGTTGGATCCCAGGACGGATACCCTGATGCCGTCAATCCTTTTTCTGCACCTTGTCCTCACCCACTTACTGAGGTGTGGTGAGCCCATAAGTGGGATCATTTTCAAGTCCACCCAGAGTGTTTGGGGATTTCAGGGGGTGTCGGCCGTTGGGCGGTTCAATAGCCAATTGAGTCATCTTTCTAAGATTCCTTTTGAGTCTCTTTCCCCTCTCCCGGGGAGACCCACGTGACCAGTTTTGGCAGTGAACAACAAGTACAAGTGTGTGTGTGTGTGTGCGCGCGCGCGTGCGTGTGTATGTACGTGTGTGCGTGCACGTGGGTGTGTGCGGGTGGGTGTGCATGTGTGTAGCAGTCACATTTAAAGTGTAGTGTGCTGTGTGGCCACAATTTCCCTTTGATAGTCCATGCACTATTCGAACGACCTCATTGGCAGTGTGCGAGGATATATGTACTTGCAAGTACTGTTGACTGTTGTGGATGTATTCAATCTTAATCTCCGTCTATGTTCATGTCTTCTGTCGCAGGAAAGGGTGATTTTGCACAATGTAGAAATCTTCTTCCGCATTCTGCTCAACATCATTGGTAAGTGCAGTGGAATATCATGCCACATGCCCCGTGGTCTCTTCTTGACTGGTCATAGAATGTACCCCTCTCCAGCATCAGAATATCGCAGCACATGCCCAGTACAATAATCTCTTCTTGACTGGTCATAGTATGTACCCCTCTCCAGCGTTGGAATATCACAGCACATGCCCAGTACGGAAGTCTCTTCTTGACTGGTCATAGAGTATACTAGACTAGAGTGCACCCCTCTCCAGCATTGGAATATCACAGCACATGCCCAGTACAGTAGTCTCTTCTTGACTGGTCATAGAGTATACTTCTTCCCACCGCCGGTTTATGCGATGGCTTTTGGCCTTCGGATACGTGCTGCAGCGGTGCCTCGTGCGCATCCCCATGGGCAGGAAGTTCCTCCTCTGTCCATGCTGCCACTGGGTAACCTGTCCTCTTGGTCCCTTCAGGTTGCATAAATTTGAGAATTGATATACACACTGCAATCCTATTGCCATTGACCTGTCCTGTCCTGTGTTGGTATTGTGGTGGTGTAGGTGAGCGCTACGACAATAATGTAGCCCGCAATGTCACAGATCGTATGCGTATCGAGCGTGAGCTAGTCCATGCTCTGTTCCTGGGAGCGTTGACGCACAGCGAGGCGGTGAAAGAAGGCACCAGCACGCCGGCTTTGTTCGCCAACCCAACTGGAGAAAAGGTATGTGTGTGTGTGTGTGTGTGTGTGTGTGTGTGTGTGTGTGTGTGTGTGTGTGTATGTATGCATGCATGCGTGCATGCGTGTGTGCACGTGTGTGTGTGCATGCGTATGTGCAAGTGTGTGTGCACGTGTGCATGCTCGTGTTTGTATTTTTTCTTTTTTCTTGGGTTCTGCCTGTGACCATAGCCAATTTACATTGTAATGTACAAATTGGTACTACAAAATGGTCCGTTTTGGAGTGTCAAGTGCATGTTACATGTGTGATCTGATGATGACATGTGCAATCTGTTGATGCCTTTATGCAATTTAAAAGTTAGTTTACGTGTATACTTGCATTGTTTACATGTATACTTACTGTGCTGAATATTGCGCTGTGTTGTGTGTGGTGCGAATGGCCTGTGTTGCCTTTTTTTCTGGCTAGGACCACCGGTTGGTTGAGGAGGTTCTTAAGACTGTTGCCGAGTGAGTAGAGGTTATGTTGCGCATTGTACTGTTGTAGTTTGCAAATCCTCCGCGCACCACAGCTTCAGTCATGGTGCATGCATGCATGCCTGTACAATCATACTCCCATGCGCGGTTCAGATGGTCGCAAGACCGAGACTCTGCCAACCGGTTGTTTATGGTTGCAGTCAGGAGCGCTGTTCTCAAGTTAATGTGTCCTCCACCTTGTCACATGCGGTCTTCATCGTCAAACACGTTAGCGTATCAAGCAAGGCTTACCTAAGGGCTAAGGCAGACTAGTACCATGCAGCAGCAGCAATCCAGAAGTATGGCACCTGCAGTAGGTCAGCTTCAAAACTTTCTGTGCTCTGACGTTTCTTTGCGAGCGTTTTTCTGCAAGCGATGACTACTGAAGTACAGTGCTGGCAACTGAAATCCGACCCCTGAGCGGTGCGCTCACATCACAAAGACCCAACACGGGATGGTAAAACTACGAAACAGAGACCGCCAGAATGTGAACCCACCACTCAGGGGGTCGGATTTCAGTTGCCAGCGCTGTAGTTCTTGTGCAAATGGTGATGACTAGCTGTGGTGACCTGTATTCATGCAATGCTGATACATTCTGGGTATGATTTGAATGTGTGCCAATCCTGCTGTTCTTTCCTTGTTTATGTATATATCAGGCGGAAGACTAGTCGTACTGGACAGACAGCTGAGTATCACTTGAAGGACGAGTACTTCTCACAGTGCACTCCTTTCTACTATCATCATAACAAGCAGCAGCAGTCCAAGGTACGGTGCTGCTGGCTTTTCTTTTCTTCTCATTGTGTTGGTGCACCAACTCCAGTGTGGTTCCTGGCTTCCCGCACTGCACATGCAGCTGCACAGTGTGTTGAAGGCAGCACACCACACGGCTGGCCCATAGAAAGGGATTATGGTTGCAGTGTATTGAAGGCAGCACGCCACACAGCTGGCCCATAGAAAGGGATCATGGTTGCAGTGTATTGAAGGCAGCACGCCACACGGCTGGCTCATAGCAAGGGAGCATGGTTGCAGTGTATTGAAGGCAGCACGCCACACGGCTGGCCCATAGAAAGGGATCATGGTTGCAGTGTATTGAAGGCAGCACGCCACACGGCTGGCTCATAGAAAGGGATCATGGTTGCATACTCTTGGTTGTGGACTCGTGCTCCAGTGTTTTTATTGCCAGTGTGTCTTTCTTGCTTGACTGCACTTGCATTAGTAAAAAAATGTTTTCTCATTGTGTGTGCGCTGAATTGACTTTGTTGTTATTTTTCCCAACAATGCTGCTTTGCATAGGTTCACATGCGAGGTCGTGGGGTCAAGGACTGGGGTGAGATTCTTTGCCATGTCATGTGTGCTGTGTATGCATCAGTTTGGAGGAATGACAAAGTTTGAAGAAAAAAACTTGTGACTCCCACTTTCATACACTGATCTTTGTGGGTGGTCTGTGGGGCTGATCTTTGAGGCTGACCTTTGAGGCTGGTCTTTGGGGCTGGTGTTTGTGGATGGTCCTTGTGGCTGGTCTTTGTGGATGGTCTTTGTGGCTGGTCTTTGTGACTACTGCATTGCTGCATGGCCCTTGGCTAAAGGACCTGCATTGCTAACGTTGGCTTTGTACTGTGCTCTGGTGTGCACTTGTTGTGGGTCTTTCAGTGGGTCTCACACCATTGCCAGTGTTCAGGCCCAGACTGGAGCCAGTCTTGTCGATCATGTCTTCCGATTCTCTGCACAAGTTCATCGCTTACTCGCTGCATGCTTGCACCAATCTAGAGGCGAAGCTCTGGAACGAGCAGACACTTCACCAGGTCAGTCCAGTAGCCTGATTCTGCATGTCCATGTTTGCCACAGCAATATTAAAGAGGATGATGTGAACGGTGTATTATTTCTATACCTTTCTCCCCCTCATTCCGTACTGCTGCTGCTGCTGCTGCTGCTGCTGCTGCTGCTGTTTACAGGAGTCAGCGTCATGTTTCATTCTGGTCAGATTGGTAGCACAGATGTCGTATGTAATCCTGGTTGGACTAATAGCACAGTAGTTTGTGTACAATGTGCTGACTAGTTGGATTGTGCATTCACGTATTGCCCTGCTTGATGCTATCATGCCTGCCTGACACCTTGTATGCTGACAATGGTGCCAGCCTGATCCATCTGATACGGTACCAACCTAGTAGATCTACCAACCTTTCCTTTAACCTTTCCCGTTTTCTGCTAATACATGTACAGACTCTGTACCTTATTGGAATGATGTGTCAAGAGGAGGACCTGTATGCAAGGCAAGTCGCCGGTCGCAACAAAGATCAGCTCAAGTTCTCGTTCATGCAGGCAATGATCGAGAAGACCTTTGCTATAAGTGGTAAGGCTGTATGCCGCTTGCCATGGTTGCCAGGCCAGTTCTCTCTCTCTCTCTCTCTCTCTCTCTCTCTCTCTCTCTCTCCTCTCTCTCTCTCTCTCTCTCTCTCTCTCTCACACTCACACACACACACACACACGCACACACACACACGCATGCACTCACACACACACTCACACTCTCATTCTCTCGATCGATCGATCCCCAAACAGACTGCTTTGGAGTTGCAGTGCTGTGCTGCTGCATTTGTCATCGTGCCCGTTATAGTCAACCCCGTGCTACGCTTCACTGAAGTTCAGGAATGCACGATTGCTGGATCGATGTTGGAGGGTGTGCCCTCTCTAATGTTCTGCTGTAGCTGCTACTGCTGCTGCTGTATATGTGCACTGGCAGTTTCTGCTCTGCATGGGAGTCAGTACAGCACGATTGTAACCGCTGTTTGTGCATGGTCTGTGCATGTGTGCATCTTTTGGTGCATTTCTTTCTTTAGATAATGTGTCCATCTTCAGTTTACTGGTGAAGCTGCAGGACACTGATCGTGCTGACGAGTACAAAGCATTGTTGCAACGTGTCATTGAGGTGAGTGCTGGGCACAGCAGCTGAGCGGCCTCTCCCTTTACTTGTAACTTCGGCTCGGGCACTTTGTACAATCATGCATATGTACATTAAGCACAGCAATAATAATATCATTGTCCAAGTGAACAGAATTGGCTAGTGTTCAAGTACTGCAGTGGCCTCCACGGCAACCAGTGACGCCGGAGAGGAAGTATCGGGAGACATGTTGAGAGAAGGCAATCCACGAAGACACGTCACGCTTGGCCGAAGCAGAGCGAAGCTAAGGCGGCAGCAAACCCAAGCCGTTACAACACTGTAGGGCTCCTGGATCTTATCTGCCAACAAGGAAGCTATCCTCTTGTGGAGAGCTGCGCAGTGGCGGCCCATTCCACCAATGTATGCTGAGTGTACAGTACTCAGTATACGCTATGCACTGTACAGTGTATAGTGTATAGTGTGCAGTATACAGTGCAGTTCTACTGTTGAAGGTTCTGGTGCGCCACACTCCAATCTAGGAACAGATGGGCTTTTTTTTTACACGCGGCCAGCGTCTAAACGAGACATCTTTGCTCATGCCTGTGTGCGGGCGTGTGTGTGCGTGTGTGTGTGTGTGCGTGTGTCTGGTGTGTTTTGTGTGCGTGTGTGTGTGTGTGTTCGTGTGCTTTTGTGCTCAACTGGATATGCATAGATGCTCTCTGCGAACAAGAAGAAGCTGCTGGCAGACCAAGGGCAGACTCTGACGCTTTCAGGTGTGGACGCAGTCGACGGAAACACACCGGTGGTGGAGACTCCGAAAAGCCCTAGAACCACAGCTGAAGAGGAGAAGGCAGAGCGCAAGAAGAAGGCTGCGGCACAGAGAGCCAAGGCCATGCAGCGCATGCAAGATCTGCAGAGGACCTTCTTGGCCACGGACGAAGCAGAACATGCTGCTAGTGCCGGCGCGGCATCGTAAGTGAAGTGGCGTGCGGTGTGTGTGCACATGTGTGCGTTTGTGTGTGTGTGCTCGTGTGTATGTGGGGGGGGGGGGGATTTCCACGTGTAGAAAGGTCACACATTTTAAAAGTCTCCTGGAAAGCTGCAGCTCTCTCACAGACACCAACACACTCATCTAGGGTGCTTTTAAAATAGCTTGGCCAACGAGACGAATGGGGGTGTCACAATGCCGCAAACGTGTCATTACATTCTCTGGTAGAGTGAGTGCTTGTCCTCCCGTACACTGAGGGCTTGTCCTCCCGTACACTGAGGGCTCGTCCTCCCGTACACTGAGGGCTCGTCCTCCCGTACAGTGAGGGCTCGTCCTCCAGTATAGTGAGGGCGTGTCCTCCTGTACCTGATTGTTTCACTGAATAACTGTATCATGACAGGTGAGGGATCTCGGAACCGAAAAATGCATTTTACTCAAAATGAAGTGTTCACTGTAAACGTCCTTCAGTCGATGATTTTCTATAGGTTGGCGAGGGAAGCGGGTGATGAGCGGAATGGATAAGAGAGGTTCGCCAGGACTTCTGCATGACTATACTGTAAAGTACTTTGAGAGCGCCCCGTCTCGCGAGAGCACCTCACCTTGATTTTACGGGCAGGGAAAGGAAAATCGTATGGCAGAGTGCAACGAAGTTCGTTGATATACCAAGGTCACACTTAGCAGGTTTTTGTGTGGAGCTCGTGTCCGCTCGAAGGTAAATTGAGTACGGATTGACTGCACAACGTGCAGTGTGTGTGTGCAAGGTCCGTGTCGTATGACCTAAAGACAGGAGACCAGCTCCACAAGACGACCACGAAAGGACGAGATGGTGGGGCGCTCTGGCGGTACTTTACGGTACATGTATGCACCGTTCTTTCTAGCTGCAGATGGGACCCTAAGTGTGCTCCCTGCTGTCAATACATGTATGTTGAGCAGTGCATTGTGGACTGTCTTTTGCTGCTATCTTCTTGGGTCTAGTGAGGCTTCAAGCGCTGTGTCTGCTGCTGCTGCTGCCGCCGCCGCAACTGGTGGTGATGATCCCATGTCCACATCTAGCTGCGCCGTGGCTAGCGCTGCTGAAGCAGTCCAGCCGCCGTCGGTCATGAAGCTCATGTGCATACTCTGTCAGGAGGAAGAGGAGGTGACATCTGAGAATGCGGCTATGGTCATGCCGGGCTACTGTGGAATGTAAGTACCTGCTCTGTTGTAGTACCGGTATCTACCGATGTGTAGCCTGTCTTGTGTGTTAGTATCTTACCGGTCTGTAGCCCGTGTGGTGCTTTTCATCATGCCAATCTTGATGCTGCACATCGGTCCGGCTGAAACGCCTTTTGCTCTGCACATTGTGATTGCAGTTATCACATCACAGTGTGTTGTATCATTGTTGTTACAATCCGTCTTTGGCAAGTTATTGTTTCTTTTTATCGTTTACATAAAGTCTTGTCTTTGTGCTCTGTGTGTATTGGCTATGCGTCTAGCCTCCTAGCCACCACTTCTTTCATGTTTGATAACGTGCTTGATTGCAACGCGATGATGTTCTGTTTTCCTATTTTCTGCATTCCTCCACCCGTGTGTTGATGCGCTCTACAAGATCTCGTGTCGTAGGCGTTGATCAGCTCATGACCCCGGCCAGCTTGTCAGGTAGGTCCGTTGCCTGTTATACCACTACCATCACCACCGCCATCACCTCACTGACCTGCTTTAGTACAAGTACATGCAACATTGTATTGTTCTATCTACTATTGCACCTCAGGTCGCTACCGTCATACAGCATGACATTGTGTACATGTACGTGTCCAGACCAATACATGATGGCCTGTCGCACAGTACAATACAATACAGTACAGTACAGTGCAGTGCAGTGCAGTGCAGTGCAGTGCAGTACAATACAATACAGTACAGTACAGTACCCGTCACTATTCTGATGAGTTTCAGCAGCAGCAGCAGCAGTCCTCAGTACCAGTGTATCACTACTGTTGGCATGGGTACCGTGATTTCTTTCTGTGGTTACGGTAGATAGATCAGGGGCGTCGGAACCGGTGCAGCAGGTGCGATATAATTTTCGATTTTTTTATTTTTTTACATTTCAACCTTGTTGGTGGCTTGTCGACTCTTGTACAGGTACCATGTTTTACATCGACAATGCGGTGTATCATCAGTATGCATATTCTTTTTATTATTCTATATGGCTTTTTAGGCCCAATTTTCAAAAACAAATTCGGGGGAGGACCCCCGGACCCCCCTCTCACACTTTGGCCGCACCAATGTTAAACTCCTTCCGACGCCCCTGTAGATAGTCCGTAGTTCTAGTAACTGTGTATGTACGCGCATCATGCGTGTAGTTTCCCTTAGCAAGGATACTACTGTCGTGGACATGGAAATCCAGTCGATTGACCGGGGCCGGCGCCCTCAGCGCGTACATAGAACAGTGCACAATCATGTTGATCCGATGCGACCAGCGCGCTGCAGCGCAATGTCATACATGTACTGCTTACACACGACTGCATAGCCAGCGCCATGGGGCCGCTAGACGTGTGACCGGATTTCCATGTCCACGACAGTAGTACAGTAAAACCTGTGACTAACGACCACCCCTTGGGGCCAGAGAAAGCAGTCTTAAGCAACGCACAACCGTAATATATGAATGTGAGACCCTCCGTGCCTGGCAAAGTGGTCAGGAGTACCAGGCTGGTCGCTAGTCACGGTGGTCTTTAGTTACAGGTTTTACTGTAGTACCAGGCTGGTCGCTAGTCACGGTGGTCTTTAGTTACAGGTTTTACTGTAGTACCAGGCTGGTCGCTAGTCACGGTGGTCTTTAGTTACAGGTTTTACTGTAGTACCAGGCTGGTCGCTAGTCACGGTGGTCTTTAGTTACAGGTTTTACTGTAGTACCAGGCTGGTCGCTAGTCACGGTGGTCTTTAGTTACAGGTTTTACTGTAGTACCAGGCTGGTCGCTAGTCACAGTGGTCTTTAGTTACAGGTTTTACTGTAGTACCAGGCTGGTCGCTAGTCACGGTGGTCTTTAGTTACAGGTTTTACTGTAGTCATACAGTAGTACTGTGCCTTCTCAGCTTGTAAGCAGACTGCATTGTGTTACGCGGTGCTCAGTTCTGATCACTGTTCTAACATTGTTCCTTTGCTCTTTTACTCTTTCTCCTGGGCAGAATTTGATGCCATTCTTTGCCCGAGCAATCTGCCATTTGGAGTTCATGTCAACTGCTGTGGGCATGCCATGCATGCGTCGTGCCATGCAGAGTAAGAGACTGTTTGAGTGTGCCATGACCAGTACAGTATATGTACCGTACTAGTGCTAATGAGCTGCCATAATTCAGCTTTGTTACTGGTTTATTGTGTGCGTGATCACATCACTCCCTGCCTGTGCATGCTCTGCGCCGTGTGTGTATGTGTGTGCGTGCGTGCGTGTACATGCGAGAGAGAGAGAGAGAGAGAGAGAGAGAGAGAGAGAGAGAGAGAGAGAGAGAGAGAGAGAGAGAGAGAGAGAGAGAGAGAGAGGGGGGGGGGGGGAGGGAAAGGGGAGGGAGGGAGACGTAGAAAGGGAGAGTTGTTGGGGGGGGGGGGCTTGGTGCCAATTAGCACAGGCAGCACAGCTGAGCAGTGCACATCGGTTTGCATTTTGTCTGTACAACTGTTGACAGAACGTTCATTGTACTGGTATTCTGGTAATAATGTAGTGATGTGTTGATGATGTAGAAACCCTACACAATCATGCAATGATGACTACATGTGCATGTACATTGTTCTGTCTGATCTCCTGCAGGTGGCTACGCACGGAAAGTCAGAAGCGGAGGCACTCCCAGCCTGCTAGTCAGACGTACCGCTGTCCAATGTGTAACAATGTTGGAAATCTGGCCATGCCTGTGTTCCCACGGCGTGTTGCACAGCTGCCTGGCCGGTAAGTTCCTCCAGTACAGTACTGTCGGTTGCCCCGAAGAACTGGGGGGGGGGGGGGGGGGGGGTCGTCAGCCTCCTAGCCTAGACCGTTCTTATTTTCATGTACCACGGTCTATGCGCAGTCGAGTCACCGTGTAAACATTGGTATACTGTGCTTGGTGAAATTCTAGCCTGGTCGTTCTTCGGCGCTCCGTTCTTCATCGCCCGCCAGTACCGTACTCAGTAGACCAGTCCTGGAGATGTCATACCTTAGAGGACATCCTGTGACCAAATGCTCGTGTGGCATGGCCATGCAGGGTTATAGCCAGAACAAAAGTGAACCGGGGGGGGGGGGGGGGGGGGGGGATCATCGGACCCAAAATTTTGTGATTTAACAGCCATTTTGTGCCGCCATTTTATGCCGTGCTACTACACAATGTGTACTTATCATGCATATAAACGGGTGGTGCTAGCACTCTGAAGGCTGGCGCATTCCTTCTGAAAGGGGCGGTCAAAAAGTGAAGGAGGGCGCAGCGCCCCGCTATGTCGCTTTGGCGAGAACCCTGGCATGCTGTCTGCGTAGCCAAATCAATAGCACTCGGCATAATTCTGTGATATCTAACCCGGTTTCTCAAACACCATTCCTCACACGTAATAGCCACCCCTGAAATTTACATATTGCTCAAACAAGTACTTGCATGAAATATGCAGTTTAAGGAACAAAGTGAATGAAATACACAAGATTCTATATAATAAGAAAATAGATATACCGTATTTTCCGGGGTGTTAGCCATACTGGGCTCTAAGCCCCCCCCCCCCCATTCGGGCCCAAAATTCGTACTTTTGTTGACATCCAGAGCATAAGGCGCATGTGAGACTTAGAATTTGTTGGCAACCTATTGGTGCATACAAGATGCCAACAATGGTTCAAAAGTTATGAAACACGACGGGAGTTCTAGCAAAAGTTTCCGTCACTCTGAGCTGACAACATGTAGAGGCTTTGTGCTAGTGCAAATGATGAATGGAGCGCTGTAGCGCTGGTCGATTCGCATCCAGCATTCGGAGTTTTTAGTACGCGTTTTAAAAGTGTGAGGAATGGTGTTTGAGAAACCAGGTTAGATATCACAGAATTATGCCGAGTGCTATTGATTTGGCTGTGATCAGATGCAATGGGTGTGCTGCTGCGGTCGAGTAAACTACTTACACGCGATAGTGTCGCGGTTCACCCTGCTGCTTGCTAATCCTACCTTGCCAGCAGCTGCATTACGTCGCCTTATGTCATCGCTTGACCTTGTTCATTCATTATCACGTCATACATGTATGGCAGGGGGCAACGTATATGCTTGGTGCAAAGTTGTGTGTAGCGGGTGACACCGGCCTTGTTTCGTTCTTGCTGCTGGACTCTTGTAAGGCCGTGGCTGACATACAGAAGCTTGTCATCGACTCGCAGTTCAAACCTCCTACGTTAGATTGACGTGAAATTTTGGGGATCCTTATACATTCTGTAGACACTCTTGACCAGCCTGGATGCTGTTTGAATAGCTTGCTGCACGATCACTCTGCAGTTTTCATTGGGAGTAAGGTACAGCCGTTTTCCCATCTGGGTGGCACGTTTGGCTATGTGAGATAGCGCCTAGCGTTTTCAATGCCACTTTGGTACGCTTCACCTTGGTCTGTTGCTTGGGAATACTCATCCAGCAGCCCACGGATTCTGTTTTCAGTACACGTGTTAGAAAGCAGGTGAGGGGGAAGATTCGACTTGCTCTCAAGGGGACTCTTCGGCGCAGAGGCTATTGTCTGCATAAGCTGTCGCTGCTCGTTGTCAAATCCAATGGTCACCAAGCCTGTGGAATCTGCAGTGTAGTGCCTCCAAGTCCAGTGAGCCAATCCTTTACTAACGTGTAACTCCCACCGGGACCCACAGGTGCCCAACAATATCTAACGTTGTTCTGCTCTGTGTTATTGCATAGACAACAGCCTGCAGCAGAAAGTTGTTCTGCTTATGGGAAGTTCCAATTACGGAAGTGAAATTCGTCCTTATTCTGCTGCTCTTCGGCGGAATGAAGAGCATAAACAACATTGGTTAAAACCAGGGAGTCGTAAAATTTTACAACTCCCTGGTTAAAACTACGAAGCTACATCTTTTGAGCCCCGCGCTAAATAAGACTTGAGCTGTTGCTGCTCGTTGTCAAATCCAATGGTCACAAAGCCTTTTGGAATCTGCAGTGGAGTGCCTCCAAATCCAACATTATCTACCGTTGTTCTGCTCTGTGTTATTGCATTGACAACATGTTAACAGGCTGCAGCAGCCAGAATGTCCATCTCACAGCAATGATTTAGATTACAATCTGGATACATGCATTCTATAGCTTCCAAACTGGTGCATTCGGCTCTTTGGTGAAGAACATGTAATTCCACCACTCATGCAACCTGTGAATGTCTCAACGACAGGGTTCTACTTCTTAAAGCTCGAGCTATCTGTTGGAATAGTCATGAGTTGTTCAATAGATTTTCCTTTCGTTCGCAAAAGCAGGCGCTTCATGAAAGCATATCTTCTCGACAAGTGCAACCTGTCCTTCAACGCTACGCAGAACTCAGCTTCTCCCTGGCGCTTCATGAAAGCATATCTTCTCGGCAAGTGCAACCCGTCCTTCAACGCTACTCAGAACTCAGCTTCTCCCTGGCGCTTCATGAAAGTGTATCTGCTCGGCAAGTGCAACCCGTCCTTCAACGCTACTCAGAACTCAGCTTCTCCCACGCAAGATCCTCTTTACACGTTTCCAGTTTCTGCTGCAAAGAAGCCATGGTAGTTAGTCTGCATACCTTCCAAATCTGCAGCTTTTATTGTGCACCCCTCTGGAGACTGGCACCAGCAACGCCGCTACTACTGCTACTTCAAGTACTAGTAGCACCCTGACTGATATCAAGTACTAGCAGCACCCTGACTGATATCAAGTACTAGCAGCACCCTGACTGATATAAGTACTAGCAGCACCCTGACTGATATGTTGTGGTAAAGGCACATCTAAAGGAGAGGACAGAGAACTACTACCGCCGTAGTAGTATCTTTGGGAGTTGTTATGTTGGCTACATTCCTTACAGGATCTGAATCCTCTTACTCCGCAGCACTAGCTGGTAGTGTTTGGCTGGAAACGCACGGTGGGTGGCTAAGAATATCGTCCCTTTGGTCCACTTGATTTCGGCAGGATCGGCAAATAGACTCTATCCGAGTGCCAGCGATACGATGGCCAACAGTACATCTAGAACTGATTTCCTCCTTGTCTTGCCCCTTGGGCTCGATGAAGACGATCCCCAGTCAGAATGAAAAGCATTTTTGCAGATAAATTTACCAGGGGTGCCACCATGTGGGTGGGGGAGGGGAATGGTATTTGTGCATGGCATTGTGTCTGTTTCTCTGTGTCAACAGTCCTTCTTTCCTGCATCGTCTTTCACAGATCTATCAACATGTCTCGCTCTCTGAGCACGCTGGCCAGTGCTATCACAGCACGCCTGTTACAGCCCGCTAGTCAATCTCCGTCTCAAGAGTCCATTGATTCAGATACTGGTCAGTTATTAGTACATGTAGACTCATTACATGCACGCACGCATGCAAGCCCGTATCCACACACGCAGTATCACACACGCGCGTGCACGCACACACGCATGCACGCACGCACGCACACACACACACACACACACACACACACACACACACACTCAGCATGATCTGCATGATCTGCATGATCTGCATGATCTGTGTCAGTCAGACATGACTGTGTTTTTTATGTTTGTGCACGTGTGCATGCAATGTTCAGGCTCAGCCAGTGGTTTGCAGCGTTCTCGTCGACGGAGTGGTTCCACTGGTTTCACCACCACATTGGCGAAAGCGTATCGCTACTTTGCTGACCGAAGAGGCCGCAGGTGAGTTCTGTGAGACTGAAGAAGAATGATTACTCAGATTAGTACCGGCACTCATTGGTAGTGCTGCTACGGACTGTTCATGACTGTTCATGTCTGTTCATGACTGTTCATGACTGTTCATGTCTGCTCATCCTGTCTTCTTGTAGGGTGTCTGGAAACCAATGGATTAGGGCATGCACACATGCACATGGACACACACACACACACAAACACACACACACACACACACTACTGCTACTACTATAGCATGACTGCCCATTGGGCAATGTCACCCCCGGAGGGGGCCAGAGTTTGGAGGGCACCGTCATTGGCAGGACTTCTGGTGCCTCGTCAAATCTTGCTGTCGTCGGAAACGCTTCGGGCAATGCATGCAGATCAGCGGCAGTGATTCCCTATCGGCTGCAGCAAGACGTTTTCCACGGTTGCAGTTATGGCGGTTAAAACCAGCCCGGGACTTGAAGCAGCGATTGCAGCGTTGACAATGCTGAAAGCAGCAACTAGCGAGAGACGCCGTCAATGCCGTATCTGCATGTTCAGGGAGTGCAGGCTGGCAGCGATGAACTGCAAGCCCACCCTTACTTCGGAACCATCGGCAGCAACTGACGCATTGTGCTGAACCACGCTGTATGTGGACGGGAAGTTGGCGCTCAGCCAAACACTTGTGCCGTGCCTTGTCTTGAGGACGAGAGAAAGCCCGGTTGCAAGATGAGCAGAGTACGGATTTCTCTACTGCCCGAGGAGGCTGAAAAACCAGAACCTGCTCTCGCCAAGCTGACCGGTCTTGTGCGCAATCAAACCAGTCTGGAATGGACTTCGTGTCAGTAGCCACAACGTCTCACTCACACACACACACACACACACACACACACACACACACACACACACACACACACACACACACACACACACACACACACACACACACACACACACTTACACACACACACACACACACACACACACACACACACACACACACACACACACACACACACACACACACACACACGTTGTGTTCGTATTTGCATGACATTGTAAATCTCTCTTTCTCTCTCTCTTGCCGTTTCATGTCCTTGTGGTGTGTGGGCGTGTGTACATGTGTGTGTGCATGTGTGCACATAGGTCGGTGCCATCACAAAGTGAGGAGGCTACTGGTCCTGATAGTCTGATTGATCTCCTGCGCGATTTCGCAGGTGGTGTACAAAAGGTGATTATCACTCTCTCTCTCTCTCCCCCCCCCACGTGACTGCGGACTCTTACATGCACACTCACACAATAACCACACAACTGTTTGGCGATAGCGTGCTTCTTATATTATACCAAACTTGACACGCTGAGTCCAGCTTGACTCAGCTGAGTCCCTAATACTTTTTTCTGCTCTAACATGAAGCAGTGTCTGGTAGAAGGGAAAGAGAGAAAAAATTCTGGCCTTTTGCAAGCTATAGCAAGTAAGAAGTGCCGGCTGTGTAAAGCCACGCAACCATGAGGTCGGCCGGATAACGGTGAGCTTCCGGCACACATCTTGCCCTGCTGCTTCACCTGCGCATACCTGATACGGTGGTGCGCTTACGGGCTGCCTGAGCCCCAGATGCCTCCCTGATGCGCCACGTGGTGCAGTCAAAGCATCTGTGTGACTTTGGTGATCCGAATGCGAATGCAGCCTTGCCGGTCGCCCGCCTGCCTGCCGCGTACGTGACCAGCCTGAGTCTGACCCTGCCGCATTGAGCGCTTCTAGACACTGAGATCCGGTAGGTAGCGCACTGGGCTGCCAAATACGCGACTGGCTTGAGGACAGTCCCATACTGCACGGCAGGGCGCCCAGCTCAGGTCGCACGCGGTACCGGCGTGAGCTGGGCGCGGTGAGGGTTGGTGATAACTACAGTTTCCTCTTCCGGAAACTTCCATTTTTGTGATACATGTATTGTTGCTTTTATTCCTGTTTTGTGGGTTGTGGGTGGGGGTAGTGAAGGCCTTTGATGTTGACAGTGGTGGCGGCAGTGGGTGCCTTTCTGCAGGATGGAGTGGTCATCTTTGTTGTGGATAGTTCTCTTTTAAAACTTTGTGTTGACATTGTGTAATCCACCTTGTACTGTTTTTGAAGTGGTGATGGTCATGAGCTATGTGCTCAAACCATGTAAGGTGGTCATAGTGTTTTGCGCATGTGCTTTTTTTTCTTTTTTTTGTGTCCCCACTCTCATATCCTGTGCGTGTGTTTGTGTGTACGTGCGCGTGGGCGTGTGTATTTCCAATCGGGCTTCTATAGCGACTGGGAAGTTCAAATACTGAATCTGAGTCTGTTGATACCCTTGGTTCATCTCTAGGATACGGTATAATGTGCTTGGGTAAGTGCTGGTCAGGTAATGTGCATAGATGAGATAGTTTTTACAAGAGTTTATCAGGACAGGTTTTACATTTATACATAATGGACATCAGTGCGTCATGTAGTTTTAAAGGCATGGGGTATACCCGACTACTGACCTCTCACGTGTCACCAACAAACCACTTTTCGCCTATGAAAACCGGTGGTAGCGCACACGAAACATGTTGTTTCATTGTTGGGGATAGAAGTCGGCGATTGGCAGAAGTAAGGAGGATGTTTGAGTGAACGCCAACCCGTCAGGACTTAGCAGGGCATCTACATCACCAATATACATACTGACGTGAAGACTTAAGTCAGTTGATGGTTGAGATCAGATTTCAAGTACAAGCTAGCTTAGATTTAATCGTATTAGGCCTCAAAACAAACAAGATAACTTCCGTCCACAGTCTTGTGGAAAGTGACTATTGCTTGTGTGAGTTCTAGTTCAGCCGAACAGTCACTGTGAAAGTGATCGTACTTTACTCTACATGTTCTAGTAGGTGTGGATATTCTAATAGGTTTCTGTCTATGCTGCCCGTGCTTGCTGCTGTGTAGAGCGGCTCCTGCATTCGGAGCTTCGGAGCGTCTTTGGTGAGCTATCGTGTCGACTGGTGAGTGGCCCGTGCCGGTGGCAGTGCTTGTGGTAGTGCATGCTTCAACCCTTGCAGGGCTAGTATGTGTTTGTGTTGTGCCATGTAAATGTTTACGGCTACTTGTACACTCTGCTTGTCTTCAAATAGGACTCATCCTACCCTGTGGCCATTGACTGAGGGTGCGTTTGATTGGTACGATCTAGGACAGGATCGAACAGCTGGTGCTTATGGAGCAGCCTCATACCAACCAAATGTGCGCTAAACTTGGTTGCATTTGTCGAAATGTGTACAAGTCAGATCGTACGATATAACGAGTGCATGCCAAATGCAACCTTAACACGTTGCACATGATCGCAATGGACAAAAATCGAGGTTCCCGCCAAGTTTCGTTGTGAAAAAATATAGCTGCCCTGGCTGCTTCTGGCCGATCCAGAAAAGGTGCAGTCCCAACGCTACGCGCTGTTCTGGCGGATCCTGTTCTACTCGAAGTAGGTTGTCCCAACCAAACGCACCCTGGTTGTCTAGGAATGCTGGGGTCGCCATTGTTCCTTGAGTATGGCTCTGATTGTCTGAACAAACATTTTTTGTGTCGATGTGTGTATTTTAGAATGACCCGTATGAAGTTCTCACAGGGCTGGGATTTGAGGCCCGCTCGGAGTTGGCCCACTCCAGTGGAAAGCCAACGGTGATCACTCCGTCAGAAAGGCGTCTTCTGTCAGGTTAGTTTTAGAGTGACTGTGTGGGGGGGGGGGGGAGAGAGAGAGGGAGAGGGGAATCTCCTGGATTAGTAAATAAGCCTGCTTGATCTGTAATAGGCGGCCGTACTTCGAGAACTATAGACTGATGTACAATGTTGTGTTTCTTGGTGTGCACTTTTAATATTATTCCTTTTGTGTTGTTAACAGTGGTTGCACGATTGCTTTCCTCTGATGACGTGGCCCTGGACAGGCTGCCCAGTTTTGATACCCGTGTCTTCCACTTGGAGCCATTCCACCTTATGGTAAACACTCGTAGATAGAACTGTGCACGTCCTGTAGTGGTCAGTGAAGCAGTGAAGGCTTTGCTCCCCCATTGCAATGCCCATCTGCATCATGTATGTGATAGGTTTGATGAATGACAATGTCCGTCAATCTGCGTGTGTACGTGTATGATGTGGGTGAGCGTGTGGGTGTGGATGAGGGTGTGGGTGTGGGTGAAGGCAAGAGTACATAACCCCCCAAGAGTGTGCAACTCCCACATACCCTGCTGTACCGACAGAATTTCAAGTTGACGTCATTATTTATGATGCAATGCTCCTTGCACCAGTGGTTTACAACATGTGTACGGGTGTCAAGCATCACACGTTTTTCTTTGCAATAATTTTTACAGCATCAGATGGGCTTTGGTCCACCACAGGTTACGGATTCGTCTGATAATCCGTGTACAGTGCGCATTGCATCATAAAAATGACGTCAACTTGAAATTCTGTCGGGACAGCACCCATAGTCGAGTTGCACACTCTTGGGGGGTTATGTACTCTTGGTGAAGGTGAGCGTGTGGGTGTTCATGCTACCATCACAGTGTGCTTTCTAGTTTGTCCAATCCGAAACCTGATCGGCATCATTAGCCTCTTTCCCAGAAGCAATGTTTGGCATGTGGTCGCTGCTGCAGTGTGCTGGTGGTGGCAAGTTCTTTTCTTGCTGCCACTATGCTCGTGTTCTCCAGATTGCATTTAGAAACTGCTTCCCATGGAGATAATGATTCGTAATTGTGTATACCTGAGCAGGATCGGCGGAAGCAGCTTTTGATTGGTCCGGCCATACCCTAGTCTTTCATACAGTTTGTGTATGCTGTGGTGGGTACACATGGCCTTCTCAGCAGTGAAGAGGCGTTGATAGGCAAAGAGTTGGTCCGGCCATGGCCTGAGCAACCGCACCGCTTCCGCCGCCCTGCTGAAAACTTCTTATATTTCGGCATTTTAATACTCACCTCTATCCTCTTGGCTCTTTCTTTAAATGTTTGCGTGCAGGTTCAGTTATCTCTGCTATTCAACCAGTTCTCTCAGTCGTTGGAGGCCGATGTGATCCAGGCGCGTGGCTTGGTGGACTGGTGGCCGCTGAACCGGATGGAGTGCACACTGGTTGCTCTGCACCTAGCGCTCATTGTTCAAGTGGTGCAGATCCTGATCGTCGCCACTCCTGGTGAGTGTGGCCAGTGTGGTGTTGCTATACATGTAGTATTGCTAGTGTTGCTAGTGCTGCTGCAACTGTAAGCCCAGAACTCGAGCTTCAGGCAGCTGTTCAGCAGGTTTAGTTGCGAGGCCGTACTCTGCCAACTTCGCCTCGGCTTCAGCCTGGTGATTCTTTGAGACAAACACATCGTCGACGTAATTGTCGGCTCCTGGAACATCGCGCAGGACCCACTTCATTATGACGTCCATTATCTTAGGAGCGACAGAAAATCCGAAGCCCATGTGCTGCATGACGAATCGTTTGCCCTTCCACAACACAATCTGGAAGCACTGAAGCTGCTCTGCTACATGAACTTGTAGGTAAGCCTTCCGGATGTCCATGAGAACATACTCGTGTGCAGGACCAGCCTGGTGCCACTTGCGCAGCTTGTCTCCACAGATAGGGGCCTCTCTGCCAGGCTCAGACTTCACGAGACGATTCAGCGACCGGTAATCCAAGCACGGTCACACTGGAGTGGACTGTTTGTGCTCTTGTACTTGCGGAATGAGCGGCAGAACACACTGTGGGGGGACCATGGACTGATGAATCGTGCGGGACCAGCCAGCTGTTATGGATCCACAGATCGACTTCGTCTTGGAACAACTTCTCTTGCTCCGCCGGCTACTTATGGCGCGAGTATTCTCCGATACCCGACCCAACACTGGCTTCAGGACCGACGCCATCATTCCATTGCCATGTCAGTTCCCACCGGCTCAGTACAGTATTCCAGCGTACGCTGCCATCACTCGTTGAAAGTGTGACGTTGCCGACCTCATCCTCATCCACTGACACATACGGTAGTGGATGCTCGGACTTCTTCTCTTTGTGTAACTGACACTCTTTCTATATGCACGGGCAAACGTACATACATAGCATGCCCATGTCTACCCGTACATGTTGAGGGAAGGCGACCTCCCCACTGGCTGATGAGGCAGATCCTTGGCTGTAGGAACACTGTATTTATCTTACTTTTAAAGACCTTTGACCAACAGCATGTTCCAAGTAGCTGCGGGTCGTGTATTGGATATCTGAATATGAAATGTAGCAACGGAGAAGCTGCTCATGAGACATTGCAGTCAACCTACCCTTGTACATGTAACGATATTTGCGTCAGACCAAGAAATATCGTTATAAGGGTGATATTGTTATAAGGGTACTGGGTCATTTCATACGTGTACGTCATAATGCATGATTTTTGTTCATTTTTTACACTCTTCATAGCATCAAAACTAAGGTACCATTATGTATGTTCTATGCACATTGTGTACACAACAAGGCATTACCAGTGCTGCCAAACCGTCCGATTTTTCGGACAGTGTCCGATTTTTGAAGGCTCTTCCGAAAACCGATCCGAAAAGGGAAACGTCCGAAAAGCAGCCAAAATGTCGGAGATCATTACTTCCCTATGCAGAAGTCCTGTACTTTCACTTTTCAGCGCAACTGAAGGCACAAATCACTGTACATTTGCTTCTAAAAAGGCTAGCACTTGGCTGTGGAAGTGCAAAGTAACATGCCTGCATCAGGCTGGATGGCATGTACGCTGACAGTGTACAGAGTCAGTGTGCGACCACACTCATCATTACAAAATTCATGACAACTCCGGGGTTACCATGGCAACGAAGCGAATTTTCATGGTGTTTTAGGCGATATTTTGAATTCTCTGTAAAAAAATTGCCGAGGAGAAAACTTGGCAACATGCGGCCAGCCTTGGCGGTGAAGGGTGTCCGATTTTGGGCGAAAATTATTTGGCAGCACTGCATTACTGGTGCTCCCATTGCATTTCGTCATGTCCCAGCGACTTCTCAAGTGAAGCTTGCCCTACTTGGCAGCGGCGGATCCAGCGATCTCCAGAGGGGGTTCCAGTATAGTCAAAAGACTCAAAACTGAATGCTAGTAGCTCAGTCGGATACATGTAGATCTACATGTACATGGACGCGAGTATGGTTGCCAGTGGTACAAATACGAAATTTAGGGGGTTCCGCGGAACCCCTGGAACCCCTCCTGGATCCGCCCCTGCTTGGATAGTGGCCTCTACATATAGCCTGCTAGATATTGTTATAAAATGGAAAAATACTGAGTGGTCAGCCCACTTTATATCGTTATAGGGGGTAATATCGTTAGGGGTCGTCCACAAATATCGATATTTTTTTAGAGAAGATATTCGTTTGTTTGGGAGGTGGGGGGGAGGGGTTTGGGCCCTGTTCATCTCGTCTTTGAGAAAAAATATCGAACTCTATCTAGGGACGGGCACTGTTCGAACATGTAGTTTATGATCTACACGAAGTGAAAGTCAACCTCGTGAACATAGCCATGGCAAGGTTGTGCGACCGTGGCAACGTAAACCTAGGTGTATGGTGACATTAGAGTTGCAGCTGGTCACGTTTCATGAGGAAATTGCACTTCATTAAAAAAATATCGATCCTTTGCATAAACATGTATATCATGTATGTTCGTTTTGAGGGGGGAGGGAGGGGGTCTGGGGAGAAATGAACAAATATCGTCTTGAAAAAATATCGATATTTACGGACGGCCCCTTGTAGCAATAATTATTGTTATAAGGGCAAGGCGTTGTATACCAAAGTCAATGGAGTGATTTGGTTTGGCAGAAAAATATCGTACGGGTAATATCGTTATAGGGGTTATCGTTATAAGGGTAGGTTGACTGTACCTCTGAAATTTAAATCCTGACTGAGCCTGCCCCCGTTTCTGTGTGTGTGTGTGTGTGCACGCGCGCGCGCGCGCGTGTGTGTGTGTGTGTGTGTGTGTGTTGTGTATATGCAGAGAAGCTTCTGGAGATGCCTGTATCGGAATCCGTTGAGGAGCTGCCCAGCCAGTGTATACTCCACCTGTGGACAGCACTGAAGTCACATAACCTGTAAGCTAACGTGTTATCCCGAACAGTGCATGATGCAACATGCTACTTGCTACTTGCTTGCGTGTCATTGATGCACTCAGTCTTGTGGTGTAGTTGTGAAGATCTGTATCATTGATGCACGCAGTCTTGTATTGTACATGTAGTTGTGCATGTCTGTGTTGAGTAGTGTTGAGGATCCTGAGTGTTGTCACTGTTTACATGTCACTGGTGATTGCTCGATGACAGTCTCAGTGGATGAATAAGCTGGTGACCTGTTCCAGTACAGTGTCCGCATTGCTAGTTCTGGTACACAGTGTCCAGCACTAGCTAATCATCAGTCCTGATGTCATTGAGTACGACTGTCATCAGTCCTGATGTCATGGAGTACGACTGTAATTATTATGTTATTCTACGGTACACTGTTGAATGCGGATGTGCGATCATTGCTTTTCACACTGTTGAGCTTGAACTCCTGCTCTCCGGCATAGTGGTTCCAGGCCACTTTAGGGTGTGAATGTAGCAGTCTCTTTGGCAGTTCATTACCTTTAGACTTTTTAGTGCACCAGTCAGCAAAAGTTCCCATGTTTTATGTTTTTTTGGTTTTTTTAAACACGGTTTTTCTTCGTATTTCGGACTATTTCCAGCTTGAAGCACTGGCAGCCAATGCTGCAGCAGAGTGAGGTCACGGAACAACGGCTAGTGATGTACGTGCAGCAGGAACTGGTGCCGTTCTTGTCACGCGCAGCGCTCTTCCTGCGCTTCCAAGGTCACCCGCTACCTCCGCCTACTGCCGGTAAGTCGCAATCACGCACTGCTGCTGCTGCTGCCTGTTACTGTGTGCACGTACGCGTAGGCTAAGGCTGCAGGCTGCAGGCCATGTTACTGTGATGTTGTGCGTAGACTCTGGTAGTCTACATATCTGTGCTTGAGTGGACAGAGTTGTGTGGTTCCTGGTCAAGCAGCATTCATTCACACGCATTCAGTATTGCTTGATACATGATAGCATTCAACGGCACGTCAACTGGCTTGTGCAGCTGCAAAGCCTGCAATTAATTGCAGGAAAACTCCATTTATCCTTCTTTAGGGCAAGATGCATTTTAAACTGACGTCACTTGCCATTCAACTGCAGTACCTGTTTCAGACAGCAGTCACAGATTTTGGCATTCATTATGTATTTCACTACCTCGAGGTAAACACATGTAATGAATTCTCTTTCTTCTGATCTGCTACTGATCTGCTACTGGTGTGGCAATAGTTAGTGCGGTGGTATAGTCCGTGGTGGCTGCAAGTGTTAACTCACACGCTCTGTTTCTGTTGTCCTTCCTGCACGCACGCACACCGCAGATGGCTGGGAGAACTATGCTTCGCTGGCCAAGTTCCTGGGTCTGCCCGAGAGCATATCGGACGTGATGGCTGAGCAACTGTGCGGCACTGATTCCGCATTGTCGCGATGGATGAGTGTGTTGGAGTCGGCAGACAAAGCCTCCGATTCTCCAGTAGACACATGCCCAGCTAAGGTTGCCAGGACCAGCTCTAACATGTAAGCCACAATCAAACTTATACATGCATGCAGGAGAAATCTTGAAAATTCCAACCTTTGTTTGCCCGAGGAAAACTTACAATTACCCAGACAATTTAGCACAAGTTCTGAGGTAAACGTCTACTAATTGAACAGTCAGACAGTGTGTCGACTGGGCATGGACTAATGAGGAGTATCAATGAGGAATATTGAGGCATATGACATCCTGATACTTCGCTCGAGCCCATCGCGTGTGTGGCAAAAATTGCTGGGAAATGAATGCTGCCACCTACAGTAATGTGATGTGTTGACCTGAGCATGCAGCCATGTGAGCATCTCATCATGAAATGTACAGCTTGTGTGACTTGTCGACCTTAGTTCGCAGCTGCTTCCAATGCATGCTTTCTCATTTACGTCGCGAGTTCATCTTTTTGTCACTCAGAGTTGCGCTAGGTGGTATAATTATATCAGATGGGCAGGATTTCGTGCACCAGGGCACTCTGATTTATTGGGTTTGTTATCTATATAGTTGCCCAACACTGACATGATGTGCTCTGAGGCATCAGTGTCCAGAGAGCTTGAAGGCCACTCAAGTTCATGCATTTAGAATATTGCCTGCCTTCGATGCAGCTGACTCGAGCACTTTTTTTATCTCATTTGGCTCCTGTATTACTAGTGCTGGTGTGGTGTCATGTGTTTATGCTTTGAAGCCAGTGATCAACTGTTTGATGTGTTTGTTGCTTCCAAGTAACTTCCGATGTATTTTGGCGTCTTGCTAGGCAGGCAGGCATATTGAGATGGTCTAAGACCATGATTGAGAAACAGAGGGTACTGTACCAGGTTCAAGTCCTGCTTGGAAGCGGAAGGATTTTTTCCAGCCGTGCTGCGACCCACAGTTAATTGGGAACTCGTGGCCTGGCACGAGGAAAACATGGATGCAGTGAATGAGATTTTCGGTCTTTAACCACATGCTGGTGAGCTGATCTACTCACCTCCCACCGCTTTAGGAGCTGCATCTGCGCCTTGATCCTTGAAGGGTGGTGGGCCTGGTGGCGTTCCTACGGATGTGGAAAACTCGGCCTCTATAATAGAGAAACCGAGTCTGACGCGAACTGTGAATTTTTTTGGTGCATGTGTTTATGCATGTGTTTGTGCATGTGTCTGTGCATGTGTTTTGTACATGTATGTATGTGTCTCTGTGCATGTGTTTGTGTGTTACGTACTTGTTTGTCTCTCCCTCCCTATCCTCATTGTATATCTGTTTCAGCCATGTTCCCGGTGTGCGTGGTCTGAGTCAGCTACCTAACGACTACAGTGACTTTATCCAGCGTGTCTCCACACTAGAGTGAGTCAACAGCATGGTGTTCAACTGGCCGCTTGCGTTTCTTTTTCTTTCGTTTAGTACCCTGTGCAGTGTATGGTGTATGGTGCAGTGTGCAGTGACACAGTGGGGTCTGTGAGATCTGCTGCAAAGCAGTCCACAGTACACTGGCTGGCTCATGGTAGCTGTGCTTGCTATATAGCCACATGTACATAGCCACATGTACGTGTTGCTCACTGCCAAAACTGGTCACGTGGGTCTCCCCGGGAGAGGGGAAAGAGACTCAAAAGGAATCTTGGAAAGATGACTCGATTGGCTATTGAACCGCCCAACGGCCGACACCCCCTGAAATCCCCAAACACTCTGGGTGGACTTGAAAATGATCCCACTTATGGGCTCACCACACCTCAGTAAGTGGGTGAGGGCAAGGTGCAGAACAAGGATTGACGGCATCAGGGTATCCGTCCCGGGATCCAACTGCAGTTACCCCTGCCCCCAGTGAAGGTAATACTTGCTACTAGTGTGGGTGGCTAAATCAGGATGGATCTGATATAAGCTTCACTAGCACCATTGATTACACAAGAGTTAATCTAGCCAGAAGCAGTCCATGGTTAACAGGTATGTATACTTCAAATAGAAAGTATAATAATATTATGTAATTATGAACCCTGGAACCAACAAAGGTGGCAGGTACAACATTACACCTTCAAGCAGCCGAGACCGTTGGCAACGGACCTAACACAATCAGGCATAAGTGTACCCTCCAACCGAACTAGCTGGCACATGTACATAGCCACATACACATGTACATAGCCACATACACATGCACATGTACATAGCCACATACACATACACATGTACATAGCCACATACACATACATGTGTCTTGTAGTTGTAGACACTGCGTGTACCGTAAAGTACCGCCAGAGCACCCCGTCTCACGAGAGCGCCCCACCTTGATTTTACAGCCAGGGAATAGAAAATCGTAAGGCAGAGTGCAACGAAGTTTGTACAATGTGAGAACCGTAGTTTATTAAGGTCACACTAAGCAGGTTTTTGTGTGGAGCTCGTGTCCGCTCGAAGGTACGGATTGTCTGCAGAACGTGCAATATGTGTACAAAGTTCATGTCGTTGGATTTCTTTGGCCAGTACTGTGTGTATCCTCATGTATGTGTGTATGTGTGTATGTGTGTCCACGTGCACTGCAGGTGTCCGCAAGCCGTGCATGACAGCACATTGAACAAGCTAGTGAAGCACCCAGCCATGTGTCTCATCTGCGGAGAGTTTCTGTGTGCTATGACCTACTGCTGTCGCAAAGATCCCAACTGTGGCAATCTCTCCTATCACGCACAAATGTAAGCATGTGCACATGTATGCAAAAGAGAAAACGCTCGCAGATACATTGCTTTGGGTGGGGCAGTTTCTGTTAACACATTGGTTAAAACCTGTGCTAATTTTGGATCTCTGAAATTCGATGCTTCAGCAAAGTTCAAATTTTAAAGCGGTATGTTCTAATAACACTTACTTGAGTAGAGGGATTTCGCCTGTACTGCTTCTTCTTGTGACTCTATCCCATTGTGCACTGCCTGGGAAGTCGCATGTTGTCGGATAGCATGTGTCACGGCATTTTGGTTGAAAGCACAGCCACCATGGCCGCTGCTGCTACCCCTGCTGCTGCTGCCTCTGCTGCTGCTGCCTCTGCTGCTGCTGCCTCTGCTGCTGCTGCTTCTGCTGCTGCCTCTGCTGCTGCTGCTGCTGCTGTTCTACACGGTGCATTGCGGCGTTCTCCGGGCTTCTCAATGTCTGTTGTCTTAAAATTGCCTTCTGACGGGATTGGTACAGTGCTGGCAACTGAAATCCGACCCCTGAGCGCTCACATCGCAAAGACCCAACACGGGATTGTAAAATACGAAATAGAGACTGCTAGAATGTGATCGCACCGCTCAGGGATCGGATTTCAGTTGCTAGCTTGCACTGTGGTAGTACTGTGGTAGTACACTGGGTCCTGCCTTTCTCACATAACATGTACTGTCGTGGACATGTAAATCCGGTCGCACGTCTAGCGGCCCTAGGACGCTGGGCATGCCGCCGTGGGTAAGCAGTACACACATGCTGCAGCGCACTGGTCGCATCGGATCAAGCGCTGTTCTGTACGCGCTGAGGGCGCCGGCCCCGGTCAAGCGACGGGATTTCCATGTCCACGACAGTATGTCCGAGCCATAATAACCATAGTAACCATAGTAAGCACCGGCGTTTACAGACTGTACATTTTCTTCATTATTCAGGAATCATGCTTATGTACTATTCTTATCTACTGGGATGTGTGTGCGTCTGTCTGTGTATGTGCATGTGTGTATGCACATGTGTGTGTGTGTGTGTGTGTGTGTGTGTGTGTGTGTGTGTGTGTGTGTGTGTGTGTATATACGTGTGTGTGTGTGTGTGTGTGTATACGTGTTGGTGTGTGTGCTGTGTAGGTGCGGTGGTGAGATAGGGATCTTCTTGCTAGTCTGGGATTGCAAAGTGATGATCTTAGCGCCTCCGCTGGGAATGCTACAAGCTGTTCCTTACCTGGACGAGTATGGAGAAACCGCTAGCGCAGGCGG